GAGAACCCAACCGCCAAATCCTGGTGATGAGAAATTATCGTCCACCACCTTTTAGTTCGATCCCCACTGTAAAATCATCAGTATTTTTTATGCTGGAGACGCGGAAAATGTGCAGTGCCCTCGCTGGAATTCGAACTCCTTACCTTCCGAATACGCGTGAATTGTACTTCAAGTTACGCGTGAATCGTCCAGTACTTCCATTTTTGTTTCTGTACTAAGATGAATCAACTATGAGTGCATCACATAGACGGAACTTTACGAGGAATCACGTATATGCAAGTATTTAAACGTCGGAAATTCAAATAATATAAATTTAAGACTGCTGAGATTAGAGTTCACCGAAGTTATTATTTCATTCGTGAAAAGGGCACTGTTTAATACAGTAGCATAAAAAAATAGAATTAAGATTGCTTTGGATTATAGCAAAGGGTTCTTTGCTTACTAAAGTCCTAAAGAAAGATCCCTTTCTTTTGACTTACTCAAGTAACTTCTTTTACTCTTTAGATCTTTTTCTTTTTACTTACTCAAGTACCTTCTTTTTACTTACTAAAGAATGAAGTCATCCTTTCCTTTAGGTATGTCTAATTAACGCAAGTGATGACTACGTGGAAGAAATTTTAAGGAAAACTGGTTCGTATTCATGTTACGCATCGGGAAAATCGCGAAAACTGTCATGCAGTTAGCTCGAGTAGCATAAAACTGTTCATTTTCTCACTTTGTTTTAAATAACAAATAGCATAGACTGAAATTAAAGTTTAATTTAAAAAAATATATTAAAAAGAGATAGATCAATCAAATAAATTTTTGACATAAATTGAATTTGGTGCTTCATTAAGTCTATATTTCCAGAATCTAGACTGGCACATAGACCATCTAAGTAACCCTCCGTTAATCCAGCTGTTTCAAACATAATTTTCTGCAAATTTTATAAAAAATAACCAAATTATAAATCATATTAAATAAACTTATCTTTGATGTAAAGGAAATTTTGAGTTAGTGAAAGGAAATTTTGAGTCGCTGTGCATTTGTTTTGCTACAAGTAACGGTAAATTAATATGAGCGGTAAATACTACATAACGGTAAATTAATATGAGCAGATTAATATTCATATCATTCACTGTAAAAATAATACAGAAATGTTCATCATTACACAGCAGGTTTTTTATATCTCTTCTCCACATTACTCAGAATCACTTGAAAGAAAAGATTAAATCTCATTTGATTTCTTCATGAAGTAAAGTAACTCATCATCTGAAGAAAGAATCGAAATTTTATGGATCGCTGCGTCATGGTAACAACATAGAAGCACAGCGGAAAATGTAAATAAGTTATCATTATCTCGTTTTAAATCTATGGTGAATTTCTAAAGGATCTAGTCAACAAAAGATTTAACAGTCAATTTATCGTTCACTTTCATTAATAAGTACTTCTTAGATATGCATTAAAGATTTTCGTTGCTTCGTAAATATTGCATAACAAAGAATTTTTATAGTTGCTAATTACTACCCCCCCCCAGTTTTCTAAGTAAACTGAAAGTATGGAAATGTAGTTAATGTATTCATCTGTGTAATATTTTGTTATGTAATTTCTTCCAAAATGATGTTACAATCCTTTTCAAGGTTAATATTTAACTGGAAATCTCCGTGCTCTTCCGTATGATTTAAATCAAGAAAAGTACATGTCCATTTCATTACGTTATCTCTCATGCTTTTGATAGCAGAATATTCTTATGTGCTATTTATTGAAAAAATTGAAAATCCAAGGTAAATCCAAAAGATCCAAAATTTCCTATTATAAAATCTAAAACAACCCAATTAAGGCCCGTTTATACCATCGCAATTTTGAGTTTAAGAAACGCGCGAGAACTTGACGGCTCCTTTTGAAGGGGAAAAAGCTCTTAAACTTTTCTTTTAGATAAAATTGAATATTTTTACATTATTGCCTAATCCAGCGGTTGTCAACCTTTTGACTAACGCGTACCATCTGAATAAAAATTGAAAACCTTTAGTACCACCACAACAAAGTTCTTCTACCACCACCACTCTTGAACACATCTCAAATCGCATAAATTTGCGCGTATTAGAGAAATAACTCAGTCATGATGTGCGGTTTTAATTTTTGAATTTAATAGTTAAAAATACTTTGCTTCTCTACGTACCACCTATTTTTCTCTTTCGCACCACCCGTGGTACGCGTACCACCGGGGTTGAGAACCCTTGCCCTATTCGATACGTTCATTAAAAATTATTCATCAGTACATGAAAACACATTAAAAATCTGTTAAGTTCGCGCACTTTTCTAGATCTCAAAATTCTGCTAGTGTAAAGGGACCTTAAAATTGTAAAGCCGTCAACAACAAAATATCGTTCAGTGAATTTGAAAAATCCATAATCCGCATTTTATTGACGCACTTTGCTTCTCCATCTTTAAACATGAATTCTTTTGATTCCTTCCACTTGTGGTTCCACATCTATATGGTGAAGGAATTCCGACCATTGAGCGAAGATGGATCTGCTGGCAGTTTTTACCAAGGACACATATAGACTGCTAATGGACCTGTCATTGCGCGATAATCGTTACAATCTTCATATTTTTGGTCATTCCTGTGTAAGTTCATGTCCCCTCGGGGGTTGACTCAGGAGGATTCCTGGGAAGTACTGGCTAGAATCTGTACTTAGACAGTCTCAACCACGAGGGTAGAATATCAGTCTTCACAAGATTGGAACCTGAGTTCGCTCAGGATGGTGTAGCTTGGAAGGGACCGTACTGGTATTGTCGCGCCTCCTCCTTGGTCGTGGTGTTGCCACATTTTAGATAAATAAGTGCGGGACGGCACTTAATTCCGATTGGCAGCCTTAGGACGACGGAAGTTGTCCCGTCACAAGAGTTGTGTTAAGTTCATGTAGACAAATTCCTGAACATGTGAAACTAAGGCAGTTGGTTCCTATTTCCATTTTCCTGTATGTATGTTACAATCAATGGATTAATTTACAGGCCTGCATCCCCTAATGTTGCCAGAGGGTTATTTAAAATAATTATTATTTTCTTTTTGAATAACTAAAGTGAGTAACATGATCCACCTTTCAGGCTTTCTAATTTTTTATTTCATTTAATCAGAAAACAATTATCTTGGTATTCTAATGTCTAAGTCATTTTTAATTCTGACACGTGCAGTTTTCTCGAAGCTACGTGACTTTTGAATTTTTTTGTTTTCTATTAAATGGGATTTTAGGACTCTTTGCAGATTTCTGAAAAGTTTATTATGATAATCTCTAATAAGAAAAATATTTGCTATGTTGTCTTATATTAGAATTTTTTTTTTTTTTCTAGCTAAAGAACAGAAATTCTCTGTGAGAGGAAAGAAAACTAAAACGTTGTTTTGCTTTTCTTTAGACAGCTTTGGGTTCATCTTTAGTCACATGCATTATCCCTCTTAAAAAATTAAAAATTACATATTATGATCAGTCTTGATGCTGCCAATCGGAGGCGGATTTAGAAGCGCACATTTCGCCATTGCGAGGGATTGTATGTTCCAAAGGGTCGTTCAAGTGAGATGGCCGCCTACCTCTCAATTCATTAATTTGTCAATGCAGTTGTTAATGCAGTATTTATTCATCACAGTATTCTGTAGTGTTATTTTGGAATGATAAATTATTTTACTAGTCAAAATTATGGGTGATGCTAACTGTCTCAATTTCTGCCTTTCACAGTTATGATGTACAATAATTAGTTAAAACTGAATTAATTGAATGCACAGGCAGGATCTTGGGGAACGTTACTTCACAAAATGAAGTTTTCTCAATCCTTTACGCGGAATTATTGAATGAATATTCAAGAGATTAGTGCTGATTAGGTAGTAAAAAGTTCGTTTCTTTGATGATTATTTAACAATTAATTTATTGAAACAAAGATTTTTTAACTCAAGAATTTTACTTTGCTAAAAATAAACACAGTTTTAATCCGAAATCTGGGTTGCATTTACTAAACTACTGACATTATTTCGATCGCACTTACTAATTCATATTCAGTCTAAAATTTGTTTTGTGACGTTTAAATGGAGACAGATGTTGGATTTACTGTATTTTGTTAAAAGTACATAAGAGCTACCTGCGTAAGCGAGGAATGCAGTCTAAGGAAAATTTGCTCCTCTACATTACACGTGGTATTTACGTTCATCTCACGAAAATTCCTATGTAGCCAGCCTATACGCCAGTACTGAATTCTGAGTGGAAATAATAGTACTCAGCATTAATTATTCTGTCCTTAGTGGGCTGTACAGTTAGCACAGATATTTCCCTTACACCCAAAACGCCGCTCAAGTTAAGAATTCGGACTCATTACCGACGGTAGTATATAATTTTATCCTCATCAGAATGTAAATTATTTATGCATTTAGTTAGTGCGGTTTTTTTGCTACATTAGAATAAAAGTAAATAAAGTGTTTTATATAAAATTATCTATGTTCAGAGAAAATTGTTTCAGCCTTTTGTCCGAATTCTGGAAGTATTTACCTAATTTGCATTAATTAAGTCAAATTTTTAAAAGGTTGTCACAGATATAAAATACTTTTATATCGTATTCGGAGCATTTTCCTGAAATAGGTTACAGATCTTTTTATTTATAAAAAATAAATAAATAAATAAATAAAATAAATTAATTTAATGTCAAAATGCAAAGTTCATTTTCACAGAAATTAAAAGTTGTTAAAGATTTCATATTTTATGATCTCATATCGAAAATGCATTTTTGTCACATATCAGAAGCAAATATTTAGTCGGGATATTTTGCTCAGCTTGACTGAAGCTCGTGAGACATGAACCTCGTGATTTTCTCAACGTGCTTGACCCTGAGTCACGAAACCAGATTTCGCTTTCGAAAAGTCATGTGACAGTCGTAGTGTAAGGGAATTAACCTTCTTGCTTCATTTCGTTGTGTGTTTCTGTAGGCGTTGAGAGGAACTTTTATCTAAAAACCTTTCATTTGGTACGTATATCTGTCTGCTTAATACCAAGAAGAGCTCCTAAAGATAAGATTTCAGCCAATAATATGCTGTATAGGTTTAAATGTTTAGTGACAACGAATCTTGATAAGACTGGAAAAAAGTTCCAAAATTTTGAGTTCAGTCAAATGATCAGATCTCAGTCAACCTGAGAAGTGTAATGAATTAGGGCTCGTTTTTGCAGTTTATAACACCTAAGTTATTTTCTGGCAGTTTTAAATTTGAGCTGAAAACTGTTATTTCTTCCCATTAATTGTTTTGATAATTAGTAATTTAAAATATCGCCTGTATCTGAGATTAAGGTATAGCATTATATCGTAATAGAACATGTGTTGCATTGAACATAAAAGTATTTCAGTTAAGAATTATTTTTAAATAATGATTAAGATTTGGTCAGTTTCTCATATTAGAAAAATTTAGATATTTTAGAGAAATATTGACTCTATTATTTATCTGAATTATTTATCTCTCTTTAATTTTACTGTTTGTTTCAGATACCGATCATGAAGGTATTACTTACATTTCTTGCCTTTTGCGGCTTTATTTACGCTTCCAGTGCTTATGTTTCAGAGAAGGATGTGCTGAAAGAAGAATGGGAAGCCTTCAAGCTTGAATTCAGTGAGTTCTGATGAGTTTAAAATCTGAATTTTTAAAAAATGTTGCAAGCTGATTATAACTTTTATCTTCATAAGCTGTTTTTTTATTTTGTTCTAGTACTTTCTCTTTTAATTTTGTCAGTAGACTTAATTTCTTTTTCAAAGTTCCATTCTTCCAATCCTCTAATAGCCATATCCAGAATTTCTACTAAATTATCATTCTCAATAACGTGTTTGTCACCTTCTTCACTGTTAACAATAATATTTTATGCAGTAATATTTCATTATATGCAGTTATGGTTTAATCCATACTGCAGATTTTATTCATTAGTTGATTGATGATTGGGGCATTGTCAGTCCAGTGGAAATTTTCTGTTATATCTTCTCCATCTATTATCACGTCATAATGAATTCCATTAATTGGAATGTTTTGCCTTTTGCTTGTGCTATCCGAAAACCTACAGATTTGTGAACATCTTCATCACTACTTTGATGCCAAACATTTTATCTGCAGATGCATCCTCTCATGATCCACATGGCAGATTTCATATTAAAATATTTAAAAAATTCCTGAATGGCCACTGTTTTGAAAATTAAGAGTAGATGTTGAAAATGGTACTGTAAATCTGTATTTGAGTGCCCACAATACTCCAATATACATTGGATGAATTATAGATGTAAAATTTGGATTTTTAAAATGATGTGAAGTACTAGTCAAACAGTCTGTAACTGTCTTAATTATCGTTGGTGTTTGTGTCTTTTACTTAAATGATAGATGACAGGAAAAATCTTCTTTAAATGCATGAGGTTTTTTTTTTTTTTTTTTTTTTTTTTTTTACCTGATTATGAAAAGTTTACATTTCTGCAGCATATACTGTGTTTGTTTCGCTTTGAAATTTTTGATGCCATTTGCAGCCTTTTCTATAGAGGATGCCAAAGTATTTTGGATCACCATATTGGCAGGAAAAAGTAGTTTTGTGAGTCATAAGTTTGTTTTGTAGATAAGTTTTCACTGTTAGAGCTTGATGAATTCATCTGCAGATTGTTAATCTGAAGCTTTTTCATATGAAATTTTTAATTGCCTTATTCCATGGCAACTTTTTAATCAGTCTGTTATATATGCGAATTTCACTATTTAAGTCTATTCCTTCATGAAATATTTGGCTTGAGCCATTAGCGTTGGAATCCCGTAAGTGGCATGCCCTAACTGTAACACTGTTGCATGCATTCAACCATCACTTTGTGCAGGATAATCTTTTTTAATATAAATGATTTTTCTGCTCCGAGTAAAGTGTGAAAGTCTACAAACAATGTAAAATATTCCCTTATTAGCCCAAAGGAGCGTTAGCTCAGAAGGGCTTATTAATTTCATTTCGGCATTTTGTGTTGTTTTACTATAAATGGCGAATTACTTTTGAAATTGTTGCCACCAAATATTATCACCCTGTATTATATTTAAAGAAATTGAATAATCTGCATAAATGTATGTATGTTTCTTGTAATAAAAGAGCGGTACCTAGAGCCCTCAAAAGTTGAATATGACTCCGCCCGAATATGGGCAATTGAAAGTCTAAATTCGGAATTTGTTTTATTATCTATTTCATATTTTGTAAAGCATTTGTGAATTTTTGATTAAGAAACTCGACAATTTCAAACCGAGCAATGGCAATACTGTACGGGAGAAAAAACTTTTAAATATTTTTCAATATATTTGTTGGATTGAATTTTATGATTTAAGTGCGTTAAAAACATTAAAAAAAGCTCCTTTGGGCACAATATAAAATCTGAAAAGCTTTCAGATTTTTTTTTTCTTTTTTCTCTGTTGACTTTAGTATACTACTCTTTGCAAAATTTTTTAAGACCTAATATGCCTTTATTCAGTTTTTGCAGCAGTTCTGCTTTTTTGCTCTGTTGGCCTTAAAATATGTTTTCATTTGTAGATCCTGCTGCAGCTCAACAATTCGAAACTATTTTTGACATAAGCTTTAATTTTGATAATATTAATAGCTTGCAAAAAATAATAAGCTGGATCAAATTAGAAAGTTAAGGAAGAGGATAAATTGCTAGATTATGAAGCTATATGAAGTTCCACAGAATCTAATTTTTTTCCTTTTCCCACGGCTACGGAAAAAAGGAGCTAACATCAATCAGTATATTGTGATTAGTTGGGAGGAAAATCGATTGTTTTCTTGGATACTATAGTCTCCATTCCTAAAATTTGAGAATTTGTTTTGGTGAGCTAAAGATCTGAATATTAGATCATTCCTGGTATTAGACAGCTGGATTTATGTAGGGTTTTGAACTGTATATGTAAAAATATATATATTGCGCTTCATACCATTATCTAAGTTTAATTTGAAAACCTTAAATGTGTTTTATCTAGGTGTAATTTGAAAACCTTTAATGTGTTGTAATAACTTAATGTAACAAAAAATTTTTAAAAATCTGATTTAAATAAAAAAAATTATTTTGTTTTTAATGTCTTTAAAAGTTATGATTTTTTACACCCTGACCTTCAACAATACTTGATGATATGTAAAATTTTCAAATAGGGAAATTTGTTACATATGCATATAATCCATGTGCATATTTTAACATATATATGATATCACATATGTAGGGGTCCGCATTTAAGAAAAGCAAAAATTAAAAAAAATCCCAATGTCGGATCTAGTTTGTTGTGAATGGCCATTGTAAAATTCAATAATGTTGGTATTATAAAATGTACAACAATATAAGCTTTATTTCCCCCACCTTTAATTTTATATTACTGTATGTTTTCTATATATAGATTTGATTATGTTCATTTAGATAGCAAAATTTATTTAATCCCTAATGATACTGAGAGTGTAACATTTAGGTCATGCAGTTATTGACTATTCTTAGTTAATGATTGATATTTTAGAAATAGCATTACGAATTTACATAGTATTTTTTATATATTTGTATACAAATTAATGTTGTCTTTTCACTAGTTTTCTTTTGCTTTAATGAAATAGTTTTTTTATTTATTTATTTTTTTTTTTCTTTAACATTATGCTGCAAAAACAGCCTAAAAGTGATTACAGAATTGGTACTTTATCAATATGTTGTTTATATTTAAAATTTCTTGAGATGTACTTTGAGATAATATACTAATGCTTTTATTTGGAGTTAATTTCAGCTTTTAATTATTATCTGTCTTAAAATTTTAGAGAAATTTTATGGAGAAACTGAAGGTGCATTCAAGATGAAAGGTTTCATGGAAAATAAGCATAAAATTGCTCAGCTTAACCAGTTTTATTTTAAAGACAGGAATTCTAAAAAGGCACAATATATTCTAAAAGCAGGACAAGATTATGGAAATAGTAAATAGTATAGTGTACTAATATATATTTATATTTAGGGTCAGTTTCAGCTTCTAACTTTTATCTTTCTATTCAATTTTAGAGAAACTATATGAAGAAACCGAAGATGCTTTCAGGATGAAAGTTTTCATGGAAAATAAGCATAAAATTGCTCGGCATAACCAGTTATATTCTAAGGGCAAGAAGTCTTACAGTCTTGCAATGAATAAGTTTGGGGATTTGGTGAGTAAAATTGTTTAATTCTTCTTATTTCATAGTTTAAATGTTGAGTCTGTAATTGTTTTATTAGAGAAAAATTAGATTAAAAGTATGTGACTTGGCGTGCATTCTGAAATAATGTATTAATATGCATTTTAAATTACATAGCAAAGAGAAATTGAGGGATACGTCAGTATTAAGTTCTAAAAGAAATATTACAGAAAAAATAAAATTTCTCATGGATCTTACAGATTGAATGCAATCTTTTTGTTGCTGATATCAGAAATTTGTACCTGATTGTCATTTAACTTTTTGTAACAGTTATGATAAATGTTCTGGAAGCACTGCTGCAGATATACTGCCAAAAGTGACAACAATTAAAAGGAGGCTACCTCACAAATTTGGTTGTTTGAAGGTAGCAGCTGTTCATCTTACTTTCCCTTTTCTTTCTTTCACTGCACGTACCAGCGGCCGAGCGGTAAAGTCGCTGAACACTGGTAGTTCGGTCCGAGGTTCGAATCCTGCGAATGGGCTCGCTGCATGGGTATTTTCGTGTTTTCTCCATGTGTCCCAAAGTGTATATGAGCCAGTTTTCCTTAGAAAGTCCTCCACGAAAGCATCCCTCCCCAGGTAAATAGCCTTCGAGGCTTTGCCATAATTAAATAACCTAACCTTTCTTTCACTGCTGCTCACGGTTTGCAAGTTGTATTCCGCTCATAGTTCATCTTTGTGGTATCCGTGCATATAATTTGTTCTTTACAGTACAAAGTCCGTAATCCGGACTCGTCGGGGCTTCGGTGTTTCCGGATTAAGGGTTTTTCCAGATTATAGATCAATCAATTTAAATCTGGTAAGATGGAATGAAGAAATTATACAATTAAAAATATGAAACCATAATTTATGAAATAAAGAGCAATTATGATCTAAAGGGTATCAAAATGTACGAAAAAAAAGCTTAATGTTTATTTGTTTCTTTATTAAACCATTCTTTCAATGTAAGTTGTTTAAGTTGCTTCGTTTGTTGTGTTAAATGTGCCTGCATGAACATTAAATGCGCATGTGTTGCATTAAACACGCATGTGTAAAGCATACAAAAAAAAAGTTTGCGACTTTGAGGTTCGGATTATAGATCATTCCAGATAATGGACATACGGATTATCAGACGGAAATCAGACAAAATAGCCATATACAGAATTTGTACTGTATATGGCTATTTTGTCTAATTTCAGTACCATCTTTTCTGATTTTTGTAGCAATGAATAAATAGAATTATTTTTGTTAAAGAAGCTGTTGGAGATAGACATAAATGATGCATCTTGAATGAATTGTTGCATTTATCTAAAGCATGTTCAGACGGAGATAATATGAAATGGTAAAAGTATATTTACAGGTTTCCCTTGGCGATTTTTGGCAGTACATGAATATCGAGTTTGTACAATTCTTTAACTTGTTATTTTGGCTTTGTGTAGTGGCGATTTTAGAGCCAAAAATCCAAAAATCGCCACTACACAAAGACAATAACAAGTCAAAGAATTTCACAAACTTGGTAACCACATATATATTGACCTATTTTCACTTTAAAAAAAAAAAAAAAAAAAAAAAAAACAGAATTGCACAAACTAGGCACTTCCCTTGACTTTATCCATGTACAGGCTGATGTATTTTCATTAAAAAAAATTAATTAATTACACAAACTTTGCATTGCACACCCCCTTGACTTTGTCCATGTACACATTGATATATTTTCACTTTAAAAATGTTGAAGGAACACCCAATTCAACAGTAGAGGCAAGTAAAAAATACATGATCTCAATACACTATATTTTAACCAAACAATAAAATAATATAATAAAGGAAAAACCTCTTATGCATCTAAACACTACACAAAGCAAATATCCACTTATTTGGGAATTTCTTCATCGTCAGTCTGGAGCACATAAAATTCCTTAACAGCATCTAAAAACTTCCTCAAATTATATGAACTCGAATCTGTATATCAGCGTTGCCACATAAATTAAAAAAACGAAGAGTAAAAAATATCCTCCGTTGTTTCAGACTGTCCGGAAAATGGCTACTAAGTAAACCTTCATTTTACAACCGTCAATTAATGCTTTTCCCTTTCGTCCAAATGTACTTCAAATCTCGTACTACATAAGCATCTATGTCTAAACAAACAACAAAATGTTATTCCTAACCAACACACGCCACACCTCTACAAAAACTCTTATTTAAAACAAATTACTGCAATCAGACATATAGGGTTTCTGTAACATTCAACTATACTCAGGTTACCATAAATGAAACAACAAATTGGTGATAAACAAAACAACTTATGGCTAAATGAAACAACTTTGCGATAATGCAAGGGGTACCCTTCAGTCTACTCTAACCTACGATATTATGCTATGATATAAATAAATTAAGCATATTCTGTCGGACTTGTGCCTCAGAAAAAGGTGACCAGTTGTCACAGGCGAAAGATACTTGATTCTGTAAAAACAAAATTTTCTAATAAAAAGTATATTGTTCCCGTATATATATATTTTTTTAGACAAAGTTATGAAAGTGCTATCTTACAGAATCGCATAGAGAATCAAGTGAGTTTGCGTGAAACAGTGAATGATATGTATTCTTATTTCAGACAGATTTATGTATGATTAATATCATGCTTTTCTACAAATTTCATTTACTGATATGTTCAAAATGACATGTTAACCAACTTATTTTTGCTTACATACATTTAATAAACTAAATTTGACTTGCGTGTAATATTTTTTATGGTGTCTAATTAAGAACTTTCAAAATGTTCAATTATTTATGCAGAATAACTTGTTTCATTTGCCAACTTTATGCTTAATATCATGTCTTTTTCTGTGTAACAATAACTTAATCATATACTGCTAAAACTTTTGCCGATTAACTGTTGGCAAGCTTGGCAAATAAAAAATGCACTGTTATCAACAGGTTCTCTCTAGTAAACTCAGTGTTTTATATATATTAAGCTCTTTAAATCCATAGTATATTTATTCAACGTACATAGTTTATGATAGATGGTAATATTAGTTTGTGTAAATTGAGATTTGAAATGATATTTCTAA